AGCTCGAGGCAGCTATATTCCACCAAATCCCAATTATCAGCACCTGCTTGGTGCCAGCACACTGGAATGCAAGTGTCCCTCTGTGCAAGGCACTCAACAGCTGCCGAGCTGCTGTGGTGTTGGCCCTGGCCACCAGAAACCCCAGTGAAGAGTCAGGGTCTCTGGAGCAAACAAGGACTGGAAGGAAAATTATGGGGGAGTCTGCCAAGGGGGAGCAGATGAAGGGGGCGCGGTGGTTCTGTAGCTCCCAGCTCTCCTCCACTCTCCCTCCATAGAGCATCACAGGATTTAAGGTCCTGGTGAGAAGGTCACTCCATATCCATGAAGAGCTGCATCTTAGAATGGTTTAGGTCGGAAGGGACCTTTAAAGGCCATCGAGTCCAACCCCCCTGCAATGAGCAGGGACATCTTCAAGTAGATCAAGTTGCTCAGAGCCCTGTCCAACCTGACCTTGAATGTTTCCAGGGATGGGGCATCTCCCACCTCTCTGGGCAACCTGGGCCAGTGTCTCACCACCTTCACCGTAAAAAATTTCTCCCTTATATCAAGTCCGAATCTCCCCTCTTTCAGTTTAAATCCATTAACCCTTGTCCTATTGCAACAGGGCCTATTAAAAATTCTGTCCCCCCCCTTCACCTGGAGTAAACCTTGGCCACCTTCGAGGGAAAGCCCACCAGGATCAGCTGCCGTAGCTCACGTTTAAAGGCTTCAGCTCACACCAGCCAGGTAGGAGCCGTTTGCCGGCCGTAAATCTCCCGTTACAGCCTCCTCTGCCATACAGCACACAGGGATTAGTAGCAGCTTTCTACTTTTTAGGTTACAGCTGATCCGAAAGTCCCCAGAAGAAAGGGAGAGTTTCCTAAGTAGCATGACTGACAAGACGGCGAAGAGGGGGTTTATTCAGAGCATTATCTAATTCATTCCCCGGCGAAGGAAACTCATCTACTTTCGAGACTTAAAACTTCTAAAGAAAACTGCTATGATCTAAAGAGATTGGCCATAAAACTATTTGTATTGAAAACTTAGCCAGCGTGCCTTTAGTGAACTTCATTCATTAACATTCTTCCTGGCAAGGGTTCCATATCTCAGCGTTCATTTTATACTTTAATTTGGTTAGTAGGTCTTTGTTTAATCGTCCTATTGAAAGGAGAACAAAGAAGGTTTAGGTGATACAGCGAAGTAATACACTATATTTTATCTCTGGAAAGCCCAGACAAAGTCAGCAGGCTCTGATACCCTCTGATTCAGGTTGGTGTTTTTTTTTTTTTTTTTATTCCCTTTCTCTTTCAGGACATTTGGAATCACAAATCAGTTGCGGAGGATAAAGATCCTCACTGTACTTAGCTGTGGACACCTTCAAAAAAAGAAACACCTTGTCAAGCAGAGAAATGATGCTTTGAGCACGACATACAGCCCAGAAGGAAGATTATCTCAGGAAAAGTGCATCCCCATTACTCCGGGGATGGATGCTCTGCATTTATATCTCTGCCCTCCAATAAAAATCAGTAGTCAAGACAGTTTCTTCCGTTTCTGAGCTTTGTTGTTATTGTCTCAATATTAAACGTCACCGATTTTTCTGGGCGCAAAACTCATTAACAAGTTGCGGTTTTGCCTAATGACTAACACGCTTCGCAGCGAGCACCCAGCATCGGCCGTTTTCTCCAGCGACCTGCAGGCACAGGCTGCCCTAAAGGAGGATTTACAGGATGAAAAAGATTAAAAAAAAAAAAACAAACCAAAACCCTCCGCCTCGTTTCACAATACGGGGAGCTGCTCCCCAGCCCCACCGTCGGCCGCACGAGCGGGCAGCTCCTGGGCTGGTGTAAACTGACACAGCTCCAACTGACTCCCAGCTGACTCCAGATAATCATCTGGCCCCAGAGTAAAGGCAGGATTCAACAAGCTTTTCTCACGGAATAGCTTTTACACTCTTTTCTTGAATATTCGCTACCAATACTCACTGCACCGCATAAACCCACTACGTACGGTGCGTCAGTAAAGGGGGGAAAATTCTGTCTTCTCTTTATACTGTGGGCAGATGGCCAGTTGGCCAAAAACTCACTGAAAACTCTTTTAATTCTTTACTTTCTAAACTTTTCACCAGTTCTACTCCAACTACCTGTGGAAATAGATGTTTTCCAGAGGTAATGCTCACAACTGGCTTTCCTCTCAGACGAAGCCGCCCTCCCGAGGCAGGACAACCATTCAGAGACGCTGATGCTCTACCACCCCGTAGTAGACACAAACCGACCCGCAACCCACCCACCGTGCCCTCTTCCCAGGGTCAGCAGTGGCCAAAACCCAAATCATAAACGGATTCAAGAGGAACATGAACGCCCGACCATAAAACCAAGCAGCAAAGCACAGGAGCAGCCCTAACTCTGGCCGAGTTTGCGGAGAAGAAACGCAACCCATGAAGTTGTAGCAGCGAATACGAACATCTGGGGCAGCAGCTGGGCGCCGGGTGGTACGAGGGGCTGTAAGGAAGGTCCATGCCACACGGCTGCTCAGGGGGTAACTATTTTTGGAAGCTGATTATTCTTTTATAGCACCGATTCCTGATACAGACCAGCATTAAGTGGAAGGGGAGGCAGGCTCTGCAGGGCTACGGACCACGGCTGGCTTCAAACTGATGACCCGGAGGTGAAGGGCCCCTTCTCCCGTTACTAATCCCGTCAGCCGCACAAGCCTCCTGAAAACGATGCTTTGGTTTTATTGCCACAGGGGTCATTTATAAAATCATAAAACCCAGGGTAGGAAACCCACCCGGCGGCAGCACCGCACCAGCACGCACAGAAATAGCTGAACGGCCGTCGAAACGGCAAAGTTCAGCCCTCCCACAGCACCTTGAATAATTTAGTCGATTAAATGTGAGAAGTTCTGATTGACGAAGGGGAGGAGGAAACGGATGAACAACTTACCAAAAGCTAGTTCTTTATTATTGCAACCAGACATGACCAAAGACTGCGTTTTTTGTTTTTTGTTTTTTTTTGTATGTCTGCACATTACATGCGGAAAAAAACAAGAACCAGTTTGCAACATTCAACAATTCAAAATAAAATTTTTAAAAAAATCAAACCCAAGAACTTTCTTGACTGGTAATTAGCAGGGACGGAATATAAATGAGGTGGCATTGAACAAAAAAGGTAACAGTGCACTTTTAATAAACCAATTTCATCCGTATCTCCACTGATTTGCAATTTAACAGTTCTCTCAGCAAAGCCTCATTTCCCTAACTAGACTGGTACTTCTAAAAACATGACTAATTCACGCTCATTAATATCAATTTGGATGCATTTAAAAAAATAACTCTTAATATCTATGCAACAGGTTAAAGGGCCATATTCTCAAACATCAGCTGTTTCTCACTGTACGATTTAAAGAAGAAATATCCCCATATTAGCCAATGAAATCGAAATGTTCCCTATGGCTTCGGAAATAAAAGGTCTATATTTTTTTTCCAGATTCATTCTTATGTTTTACGTAGCTCTGAGTCCCCTTACACTACAATATCTAATACTGTCTTATTTTATTTTCTCTGCAATTTCCCCCTTCGTTTTCAATGGGGACTCCAACTCATGTTCACTTTATCGGTCTTTCCACGGGGATACGCAAAGCGGAGCAACGCGTCGTCTGGCCTCAACGCTCTTCTGCATCTCCTCCATCTAAACACGAGCCCGATGGTTTTGGCAAACTCATTACCACTTGTTGTGAAAAAAAAAAAAAAAAAAAAAGAGGAAAAAAAAAAAAAAAAAAGAAAAAAAGCTCAGCTACAGATTAACACACTGTCGCTCCCATTAAAAGTGCAGAGCCCCCCGGCCTAAGCTCTCAATTCAGAAGGCATTTAAGCACATGTATAACCAAGTGTGGGAACAGGCTCCTCGCAGGCAATAGGATTACTCACTTCTTAAGAAGTTGCCACATGTTTAAGTATCTGAATCGAGGCCTAATTACGGTGCTGGCCGACTCCTCGCGCACGCACCGCTGGGGCAGATCTCGCCAATCCCTTAAAGCCATAAGGACGGGCGTACGTCGCCCGGGGTTTTAATAGCTGCTAGGTTTGGATTCTCAGGCAAAGCAAAATAAAAATCCTCAAGCCCTCAAAAATACTTTTTTTTTTTTAAAAAAAAAAAAGGTACTTTATAAATATCAGGTATTCACATGTGTGAAAATCTTTTAATGGGAAGTGTTTTTACACACCAATGAAATGTACAAGCAATGAAAAGGTACACTGACAAAGACTAAAAAAAAAACCCAAAAAACAAAGTATAAAATATATTACAGGTCCACCGAAATAAATTCACACGGAAGAAAAAAATCGACACAATAGAAACTTTTCTTTTTTTTTTTTTTAAAAATAGAAGATATATCACAAAAGCTTGAACGTGTTTATTTTATGTTAGTACTAAAAATCAAGGAAAAAAGCTTCATATATTCTCATCACAAAAATATTTACCAGCCACTTTTTATTTCCACATTATGATTATCTGGCTCAGCAGGAGTAGAGGCTGAACTGTATCCAGACTACAGAAATCATTCCAGAAGGTCTCCTCAGTTTACAACTTACTGCAATTTACATTTCCCCCTCCTCTCCGCACCTTACTGCAAAGGTTCGAGAGGGATTAATAACAAATCGAGAAAGAATAGGACAGAGATCTGTATTTACAACATTCATCTTTGTTGCTGCCGAGCCGCAGGAGCGGGAGCGGTACCATGAAATACCGAAGTCTTCATATCACTCTGTGCAAATTTCCCTCGGTAGGCAAAAGACAGCATCAGAATGTACCAAATTCCAACCCCCTGGGCTTGGCCGGTCCACCAAATGCAACAGCCCCTACTGGAGAGCATCTCCTCGCCCTCCCCCATCCGCTCCAGAGCCCCAACCCCAAGAGCCGGCAAGGGAGGGTGAGACACGAGCAGGATGGATCCCCTCTCCCTGCGACGGAGTCAGGGCAGAAGGCGCCGCGGCGAGCGCATGACTTCAGTCCGCTGCCGAGTCTTCAGTGCGCCTTGTGCTTCCTCTTCTTGTGTTTTTTGTCTTTCTTTTTGTTGGCGCACTTGGAGCAGAACCATTGTATCTCTTCCGGGGGTGCAGTCGTAATCCCAACGCAAGGCCTGGGGAAGGACAGGAAAATACCGTCTCAGCGGAGTAACGTGACTTTTGTTTCTTACCCAAAGAAATGAAACTTTTCAGCGGGAGACGGGATCTGGCCTTCAAATTAATATAGCAATTATATTATCATTATCTTAATGAGTAAATATAATGATCGAAGAGAAACCACTTGCTTTGAAACAAAAACCCCACATATATCGAAAGGACACTCAGATAAGAAACGTTACTGTAATAGAAAATATGACCACACTTTCAGGTATAATAGCCTAGATTTAAAAGCATTCCAAACACTTCTTTAACACATCTGCAAAAAAATCTCATGATTTTATGCAGCTGTTTAAGAAAACGCCTAAAAAGTGATTAATTCCCTCCAACCTTTTTATAAGAGCTGACATTTATATTACTGCTCATACAATGCTTCATAATTTGAAATGTCTGTATCTGTATACACTACGCTCATAATCCTGTAGTTCTCACAAAATTACCGGAATCAGCAATATTTCCCAGCAGTTTCAAAAACAACTGTTATCACCAATGCCCATTAATTAAAAAGTAACTCTCCTTCACAGCTTAAAACCTGCTTTTTCAAATGCCGGAGAAGCAGAGATAAAAATATCTTCCAGATTATTAAATTGGACGCAGCAAAGCCATTCAAATATTCCCGGCGTCACGAGCCATAAAATAAAAAAAAAAAATCGTTTTTTTAATAATATAACCCAAATTTGCCAGGGAACGACAAATTAGGACGGATGAGAGCAACTTACCAGTGATACCAATCATCGCAGTCATCACAACCTATCATTGGACTGCCATCATCTGGCTTGTTACAGCCAGGACAGATCCAGATCTGGTTACCCCACTCGTCGCGGATCTGGTGCAAAGAAAAGGGAAGTTAGCTGGTTTGTAGGGCGAAGCAGGCAGCAAAATCGACATTTTTTAAAAAAAAAAAAATATTCTTGCTTATCCCACAAAGCTACTCAGTAGTCACTGTTGTTATTTATGAAATCTCTGATCGTAACTGCTCAGCGTTATGTTTTATTTTTCCTATACTGTACTTGTTGACAAAAGCACGCGTTTTACTGTATTGTCCGGTAAACCAGTAAAGCCAGTTGTACCGCCCGACCTCAGCACAGGCATTCACATATAGCAGCCAGGGCTTTGGGACACAATTCCTCCTCTGTCTATACTATCGCGACTTTTTCAATTCTACCCAGTTAATGGCACGAAGGAGCGACGGCAGCCTCCTGCGCGCGATACCAGTCTTAGACGCGTGTAAAATATACAGTGCCGTGGGTATATATCGCCGTATTACTTATTAGCCAAAGTCTTCAACTCCAACTAGCTGATAAGATCAGGATGTAAAAAAACTTGTTACTGAGTAACTTTCCATTCCCCTTATGACATTTATGTCACAGTACAATTTACTAAAGGGTAAACGAAACAAGAGAGGCAGATCATTTACAGTATTAGGCAGCTGCTTACTGGATTTTTCATATTCAGAGCTTTATGATTATTTTTTTAATGTTTATATCCCACTAGACCCATTATTAGTATTTTTAAATTTCAAGTGGTTTCTTTAACAGTTCTTTGGTAAAAACATACATGCAAAATGTCCCAAAATCCACCCAAAGAAGTGCAATCAACAAAACGAAGTACAAAATGTCCGGGTTATTACCCTGATTTCATCATTCCTTTATGAGGATTTGCGCATTATCACTGAATCTCAAAAACATAAACTCTTTTTTTCTCTGCTTTTGTGCATCACTGCATTTGCACATATCTAGGGCAATAACTTTTTTTGCTATCTGTACAGCTTACAAAAATGATATGAAAAAGCAATAGATGAAATGCCCCAAATGCTCTTCGGGGAAAAAAAAAAGCCACTGCACGGTGGTCTGTCCATCTTACACCACTTCCCGAAAAATCAATAGGAATGTACCAGAGCTGCAACCAACACATCACTCTTGACTGACTCCTCTCAAAGCCCTGATTTTTTTTTTTTTTTGTGATTTAAAACTAGAAAATACAAAGCCCAGGAATATTAAGCAGAGAACAATCCCCTTCCCAACAGCGCAATGGAGTAGGCAACGTCAGGCAACGAACTCGATTTTAAAGCCGATTGATTGCAATAATCATTCCTATCTCCGCATCTCATCTCTCATCTGCAAAGTCACTTTAAGTTGGTAGAGGAGCATCTGCTCCGCAGGTAAATCCTCTGCGCCTGGTGTGAAAATGTCTGCCGTCATTTCTGGGGGGTGATCCTAGTGCGGAGAAGCATCACTGGGGGCTGTTGGGCTCCAACCTGCTTGAGCAACCCAACTGCGCCTTGCACTGTCCTCCGGCACGGGCACCGGCGCTCGGCAGGCACCACATCCACGGTGCCACCTGGTTTAGGCACCGGTGGGGCCAGCTGTAGGCAGCACTGCCTGATGTTTGAGACCCCAACTGGAGTAATGTGTCCAGCTCTGGAGCCCACAACATAAGAAGGACATGGACCTCTTGGAGCAGGTCCAGAGGAGGACCATGAAGGTAATCAGAGGGCTGGAGCACCTCTGCTGTGAGGACAGACTGAGAGAGTTGGGGTTGTTCAGCCTGGAGAAGAGAAGGCTCCAGGGAGACCTTAGAGCAGCCTTCCAGTATCCAAAGGGACCCTACAAGAAAGCTGGAGAGGGACTTTTTACAAGGGCATGAAGTGATAGGATGAGGGGGGATGGCTTCAAACTGGCAGAGGGGAGATTTAGAACAGATATTAGGACGAAATTTTTCACCCTAAAGGTGGTGAGACACTGGCCCAGGTTGCCAGAGAAGTTATGGATGCCCCATCCCTGGAGGTGTTCAGGGCCAGGCTGGATGGGGCTTTGAGCTACCTGGTCTAGTGGGCGATGTCCTTGCCCATGGCAGGGAGGTTGGAACTAGATGATCATTAAGGTGCCTTCAACCTAAACCCTTCTACGATTCTATGTTGCCCCATTAGGTTCTGGAGCGTGTCCAGAGAATGGCAACGAAGCTGGTGAGGGGGCTGGAGAACAAGTCTGATGAGGAGTGGCTGAGGGAACTGTGGTTGTTTAGTCTGGAGAAAAGGAGGCTGAGGGGAGACCTTATCGTTCTCTACAACTACCTGAAAGGAGGTTGTAGCGAGGTGGGGGTTGGTCTCTTCTCCCAAGTAACAAGTGATAGGACAAAAGGAAACAGCCTCCAGTTGCACCAGGGGAGGTTTAGATTGGATATTAGGAAAAAGTTCTTCACCAAAAGGGTTGTCAAGTGTTGGAACAGGCTGCCCAGGGAAGTGGTAGAGTTACCATCCCTGGAGAGATTTATAAGATGTGTAGTTTAAGTGCTGAGGGACATGGTTTAGTAGTAGCTTGGCATTGTTAGGTTAACGGTTGGACTTGATGATCTTAAAGGTGTCTTCCAACCATAACGATTCTATGATTCTACGATTAGAAGACAGACACCCTAACTTACCCAAACTTTGCTTTTCCAGGGGGATGTTTGTCTGAAGAATACCTGCCTCAGGCTTTCAGGGGCTGGAGAGGGGCAGGGTGGTCTATAACCATCAAAACCTCTGCCGGTTTGTTAACCAAGAGCTTGGGCTGCTGAATAAGGATGTTAAAAATATTGCGCAACTTCTCATTCCTTAATGAGCCAAGGGTCGTGGAAGGAGGCACAGTATATGATCACTGAATGCTATTTTAGTACAAACCGCAGAGAGTTAATGATAAGAGCACACTTACTCAGATGCTATCCTACAGGGAGATCCCACATTGTATCTTTTTTTTTTTTTTTAAAACTATAAGATCATCCCCCCTGTTCTCCCCTGCAGAAGGGAGTTGCGTGCTTCTGTCACACTGGCTCCAATCTTATCTCTAGAAGAGCTTTCCCGAGCGACCCGGGGAAAGCCATTTCATCATTCTCTGTCCTGGATTCCCTTCATACAAGGGGCTAATAGTTATTAATTATTCCCTTCTTCCTCGTCTTCTCTCTCAGCTTCTTGACTTATAAACATCTCACATCAGGAGTCTCTCTGCCTGTGCACACAGCTGGATCTTAATGCCCGGGTTTCAACTATAATGTTGAATAAAAGAAAGAAAGAAATAACCCGGACCCTACATGTCCTCTAAAATCTTCACAAGGTGCTAAGAGTGTTACCACTAGAAGTACCTAGGAAAAGTTGTAGGTTTTCTTTCTTCAAACTAACATCTTTAAGTTATTGGCTTTCAATGCTTACTGAAGAAAACTGGATGTAGTACAGTATTTTGGAAATGTTTCTCTCTCTGAGTGATTTTCCAAGCCCTGCTGCAATAGGTTAGAGCGACGCTGCATTTACGCCTGTGATACAGAAGGTGAGGACGTGTATCCTGCACCCTGAAGACACGCACAGCCGATGTGCCGTCATCTGGTGCTGTAACCAACTCCGGAGTGAAATGTAGCAGCTGTTTAAATAGAGACCAGTAACACGATACAACAGTTGAGGTCCAGCACGGAAGAGCACCTTTTCCATTAGAAATAGCAGGGTAGATTTACACTAGGAATCATTATAAAAACAATAATAATAATAATAAAAAAAGAGAAAATCATGCATTTGTTGCAATTAAAGCACAGGAAACTCTGTAATAAAAGCAAGTTTCAAGTGTTTTAAATGGTGAGATTTTTTAAACTGCTACCCACTACAGATAAGCAAGGTGTCACCAACCATGCTGGAATTTAGCCAGGAGAGGGAGGATAACAACACTGCAACCATTGTTAGTGGTATCTGCTGCTCTTCAATGACCAGAAACCATCAGGACTACCATTTTACACTGCATCTAAAGCAGAAATTTTCAGTAGCACAGCAATCCTAGTCCTGCTCAGAGGTACGTCCATGTTCTTTTAGAGAATGCAGTTCCTACATCATGTTAGATGGGAGACTTTTCTAAAGGAACGAAGAAGTCTTAATGCTACCAGAGAGAGGCCAAGTTCAGAGCATATGTCAAACAGACTAAAGAACTGCAGACTAATAAACTACCTACAGACTGTCTGAGATGCACAAACATTTACAACTTCTGTATGTTGAAGAAACCAGAAGAGAGATTAGTGGACTCTACACATTTCAAATAAGTCAAATTCTTGACGTTGCATGAGGGTTTTGTACTTTACCTGACTGACAGCAAAATCCATGGCAAGCCTGACACTTGAGGTTTCAATTCAGCACTTATGAAAGCATCTATAAAAAAATCTCCACCTCCAAAAATAAATGCTCTCGCTCAGTTAGAACAAAATACCAAGTGGGATATAACTAGACTTGTCAGAATAAACTTAAACATTCAACTGGGAACACAGAAAAAAATCAGTCCAAGTAGTAGTGTTTTAATTAAGTTATTAACCACTCAAAACATGTGCATGGAAGCACAGGCTGGATAAAAAGTAGCTTAATAGAGAGCAAAATCACAAGTCCAGGTACCATCAGTTTGAGACGATGAGTTCACTCAGGAGCTCACCAATTCAAGAGATGAATGTCACCGGCACTGGGACAAAACACAGCAGCGTGTGTTACCTACCACGTAAGTACTGACGGTCTCGGTCACCACGCTCCTGACCGGAGCTTTGGAGCCTCCTGCTGCTGAGACGGCTGGAGAAGGCGGTGGGATCAGGACCGGTGAGACAGTAGCCTGCGGAGGAGGAGCAGCTGGAGCTGGAGGAGGGGTGACATGAACAGGAGCGGGTACTGGTGACGGTACGGGTGGAGGTGTTTTGGGGCGGCTCACAGGAGTAGAATTTTTGGCCTCTGGAGCTGGCACCACTTTGCTGATGACTCTGTAGGACCGAAAATGTGAATTGTTAAGAGCTGATGGGAAAGAAAGCAATGATCAATCACCAACTAGATATAAAGAAAATGCAGAGCAGCTAATTCACACTGCCTTCGAGCCAGCAAAGAGGCTGTTTCAACCCAACACAAGGACTGTTGTCATTGCTACATCCATCCACTGGACAGGATAAAGCACAGAGCCATTACAAAGTGATCACCACGACAGCCTGAACCACTCTATAGCTCGCTGTCATATAAATATTCTCTGTGGCTTTACTAAACCTTGTTTCGTTAAGTTTTATTACATTAGCTCAATTTGTGGGAAATATTAGAAAGGAAAGTTAATCAGCTGTGAACAGCACTGATTTTAATCTTCAAACTGAGAGACGATATCATCCTCTTAGGATCCTACATTAGGGGGTTCTCCAAATATTTGCTAGTTTGGTATTTCTTTCCCCAAATGTTTATGAAACCAGCAGTGGATCTAGTCAGGACAAATAAATGACGCACACTACATACTCAGCAGTTAAAATATTGCTACTTACTCGAGTAGCTGAAGTAGACAGGATGTAGCTCTAGTAAATACACAGTATAGAATAATCTTGCCCAGGAAGGGGGATACATAGAGGACCCAACGTTTATTAATGAATGTTGATACACAGTGTTATTGATGTGCATGCAATTTAATGGACAAGACAGAAAAAGCCCTTACTATAAGGCTCTAGATTAGAAACATAAAGAGAAGGAAAAGGATGTTTTAGAAAACAAAACAAAAAAACCCTCAAACAAAACACAGGATAGATCTATTTGTTTTACCATATTTTGGTAAATCATTTAACTAACTTATTTATATTTGAATGGCAACTGTGGGAGTGCAATTGATTTGTGACGGGACTGTAGGAAGAAGGCGATTTAAAGAAAGGTTAGGCATTCCAGAGAAGAGGATATCTTAAGAAAGCAAAAAGCGGAGACATCAGTAGGAAAACCATGACGAAAATCAAATTCCGACAACTCCTGAGAACCAGGAAAGTCCAGCTCCACCGTCAATGGGAATTTAACGTTCAACTTTAGAGTTTACTGCAACTTTCTTATGATATTCAAAAGGCAGTATCACTACGAGCGGAGACACTGTCTGCATTTTGAGTCAATAATCCAAGCCATCGCTTGAGAAAGGCTTGGAATTCTCCTGTATTTAATGCTTGGCTGAGATGATAGTGTTTTTCTCCCAAGATGTGCCACTTGAACTACCAAATCAGAACTATGGCAAGTTACAGTAAAAACAGAGTTAGGAAAAGGAAACAGAGCAAGGGGTTTGGTATTCCTGCCTAACCCACCAACTGTAGCATCACACCTACCTTTTGAGACCTACTATGAGTGACTAAGGGAAGAAAACCAAGACCAAGGAAGTTTAGAAACCTGCAGGGGAGCAGAAGCTAAAAGCCATTAGATGATTTTCCATCAGCCACTTGATGAAGACATTCACGCCACTTGATGTCCTAGTGATTGCTTCAGGTGCCTAATCTGGGAGCTCAGGCTCTTTATATGTGTCAGTAAGGTGCCAGACTGTGAGTCCAAGTACAGGACTCCTAATTGATGTTGTCCGTGACTTGCAGAAGGAAGGATGTCCTATTATCAGGCTATCCTGGGAGCAATCTACACATCAAATTCAGCCTCTTTCTCCTGTTAATGGGGTACATCTGAAAATCCGCTGTTATCTCCCACGAAGAAAGCTTTCTCTTTGGCTCTTGAATGTCCATGGTTCAATGAAAGTCTTAGCACGTGGCTCCCTGGAGCTTCTGCCAGACTGGCCACCCCAACTCAGACACTTCTTCTGTGCCTTCGTCCTTCCACTGCTCCCGCAGACAGCCCTGGCTCCCAACGCCGAACGCCTAAGACCTTGGTTGGTGGCAACACTCCCATGGTTTGCAAAGTCACCCTCACGACTTGAGAGCCACCTCTCAATAAAAAAAAATCCCAACAATAATAGAAGCGAGGAGACACACAGACAGCAAAATGTTTGGCACAGCAAAAGTAATTTGGACGGTTTCAAACATCATTACCCTTTCTTTCCCTGCCTCCCTCTTCTACCCCCTGCAAGTAAACAAAGTCCTGCTATGTGTTCTTCAGCGAGTCAACCCTCCTCGAGTCTAGACTAGGAAATGTATTAGCTAATAGGATTTTAAACACAACTTTGCACACAGTGTAAACAGTTTTAAAGAAGTATTAGCTAATATAATTTGAATAAGAGTGACCATGCCCAGCTAACATGAAATTAAAGTACTTAGTTTCGTAGTCTAGATAAAGCCAGGTTCTCCTCCTCAACAGGGTCTTCGAAGCCACTCTGCTAATAACTGCAGAAGCTACAAGGAACATCACATATGAAATCTTCCAAAACTACAAATATTCATTAGCGGGCGACACAGACTCATTGATTGGCTGGGTTGCTTGAAGCGTGCAATTAGGACATGTTCAGTATATAGGGCAGCTTGTTTATCTTGATTTTAGAGCTCAGTTATCAAAACAGGAGATCGGCATTTCGGAGCACGCTTGGGCCTACCACTCCCTTGAGCTAATGAAGTTCAGAGACTTTAGACTCCGGAGCGGAGAAATGAATGGCTTTGTGCTACACCATTAGAGGTGATGGAGTAATCTCCGTGAGGGTGGTTTAGCCTGTCCTCCGTCCTGAAGAAGGGGCTGCATACATGGCAATACGGAGGTGGGGAGAAATCAAAGGGAAATAGCAATCCCACAACTAATAATTAATGTTACTTCAGACTTGGAAAGGAACCTGATATCAAAACACTATGTAAATGATGATGGCACGATTTATGAGCTCTGTTTTATAGACAGGAAAATTGAGGCACGGAGCACACTGCAAGTAGGCGGCACTCACTCCAGCAAAGCTTCGATCCTCCTGGTACCTAGGTCCCTGCCAGGATTTAAACTCTGCATTTGGACATCACCATACGTGTATCATTACCTTCTTTTCCCAACGTGCTTCTCCTATGCTTCCAAAATCAGCGCTTGTATATTGAAAGTCTCTATGTACAATACTAAATATGGCAAAATTTCACTTCCTCCCTCCCACCCTCCAAAATCCAAGAAATCTAAAACTGGGGCTGGATTAATATTTTTTGAAGTAATCAAACATAAATGAACATCAGCTACCACCAACACACTCTCAGTCCTGAGACAAGAATTATGCTTCTCTGCAGGCTGCTTGCCTGGCACGGTCTCACAAACACGTTCTACACCGAAAGATAAAAAGTCAATTAAAAGTTGTTTTTGAATCAAAATAGTTCCTCCAGAATGAAGGGGTGTGAGAAAACCCTTGGAATAGATGTGGTAATAAGAGCCTCCATAAATCATAATTAAAGGTTACCACTCCCTTGAAAAAAAAAAAACAAAACAGAATTAGTGTAAACATTGTGAATCTGGTTGTGTCCAACCTAAATTCATTTTGGATTTCTTTTTAAATGCCAGCAGGAACTGTATTTCTTATAGAACCTCAGTGCTTTTATAATTGAACACATGTAGCGATACACCTCTTCATAACGGTAGAGTGAACGAAAACCCACTTTCATCATTACTCCGGGGCAATCACCCCGTTCACAGCTACGGATCCAAACCCAAACAGGATGAAAACGAAGTGCTGGCTTGCAGGCAAAGTGCAAATTCTACCAAGATTTTAAGTGTCGCGACAGGTCAGTTGATTTATAATTGGTTCTAACCGGCATGAGCTGTAACACGCTACATCTGGAGCAAAATGAGGCTCCAAGGTGCGAAATGGTTTCCTATCTTTGGAAGTAATTTATTTGCTTTCGTTCTGATCCTTACGGCTGAAAGCCCCATTGACTGCTTCATATAAACACAGGGAAAAGGCATGTGCACCGAAAGGAAATGGCTTTTAAAAAATAGGATATGAGCCACAGGGCTGAATGATTGCTACGGGTGATGAGCTGCAAAAAAATGCTGTTATCAGTACTTCGAAAGGTCTAGTAAAAAATCACAGCTATCTTTGTTTCTTGGAGGTAGAGCTCCAAGGAAGCTGTTTCACATACGCTCTGCCTAACAGAAAAATGACATTTGAAGAGTCCTGATTCTTTTCTGAACCCATGGCCCATTTTTAAGCAAGAAGCAGGAGCTAAGGGGGTCTTTGTATGTAGGAAAATGACACCATCAACTGCACTGACATAATTAAAACTAGTACAACTCACTCGGATTATTACAAGTGATATTATTATCTATTAGTATTGATATTCCCTTATCAATGTAAGTTCCTTGATGCTAGAAAGTTAAGTGGTGTAACTATTTTATTACTGAAAAATCTCACACCTGGAACTGAGATTGTTGCACCAGAAAAAAAAAACAAACAAAATACTCTAAGACCTATGGGTAAGAGTGTCAAAACCACCTAGGGGAATTAGGAAGATTTCCATATGGTTTAGATTCTTCACAGATTAGAGGTGATTTTGAAAATTTTATTCCAACCCCGGAGGAGAATCAGTGTAATTTAAGCTCTGTAATGTAGACTAATTCCCATATTACTTTTAGAAAGGGAAATTTAGGTTTTATCTCTTATGCCCCGCTGAATGTTTTATTCTGTGCAAACAAGTCATATTGGCAAATATAAGCTCCACAAATACGCGCTATGACCAGCTCATGCATTTGCAGGGTGCCAAAATGTATCAAACCTCCAGCGGAGCCCCGGGCAATTTTGCAAGTGAAAAGACTTCAGTACTTCAATTTGAAATAAATAAAATAAAATAAAGAAAAATTCATGTGATAAATTGCCTGCAATGTAATATCCTTCTCTATCAAGGAAAATGAACTTTGAACACTTATTCCAAGATCTCATCCATTTTTACGGACACTGCCTGGTCTCATACAAGCGGCATGACTTCCACATAAGCATGTTGACTTTCAATGGTGCACATGGACCTCAACAGCCCCTTCTCCATTTCACCACTACAGCAAAACCCTGCAAACATCCCTTCCTGGGCAAATG